CACATCCTGGCCTGGTGGCCCCGAGCAGGGACTCAGCTGCAGGAGCCCAAGCCTGCTCCGCTCCAACACGGGAGCAGCAGATACCTGGGTGCTTCCTGCCCTGGTCAGGCGGAGCCCAGAAATGTGCCCCTGGGGAAGGTGCAGCCAGCGCTAGCGTGGAGACAGGTCCCAGCAGCTGGCAGTGAGCTTGGCTGTCAGCTCTTGTCATCTGTGCTTCAAGCTGTGCCTTGGCACTGTGGGACGCCCCTTGGCTGGCAGCAGCCAAGCAGAGGAGTGGGGCTCCACAGACTGCAGCCCCCGGGCTTCTGAAGATTCCACCTTTGGCTGGAGGTGGGACCTCCATGTCTCCTATTAAGACACAGGTTTGCTTCCACTGCTGTCGGTGCTGGCTGAGAGCGAGCTGATGGCTACAGCAGATCCCACTCCATGTGCCATCCCTGCTCTCACTGGGGTTCAAGGAGTGTCAGCTCTTGGTGGCTCCTGGCCTCTCATCTCCTGGCCAAGTCCCAGGTGAATGCGTATTCCTGCAGCAGGTTTCGTGGAGCATGGCTGGGTGAACGCCTCATTGCTCCAGTGTGACCTTGGCTGCAGGGTGCTGGGAGCCAAAACTGCAGTGCCCGGCCACCTGGGCACGTCTCTGGCAAGGCCAGCACTGCAGGGCAGCCCTTGGGTGCTCGCAGTGCCTGGAGGCTGGAGCCAGTATGAGCCCCTCATGCTGCAGCAGGGTGAAAGGCTTCATCAGAACAGTTCCATCCAAGGACACAATTCTGCCTCCACAGCCAGGGAGTCCTCGCTCAATCCCACAGGAGAATGCTCCATGTGCAGATGTGGGTGCGTACACAGGCCTCCACGTGCTTGTCCTCATGCACACTGAGCAAATGCTCTGCTGTGGCCAAGGCTGGCCATTCTGCAGTGCTTTCCTCCCTGTTTGCTCTGCAGGAGCAGAGCAGGAGAAAAGATGAGCTCACTGGTCCACTGTGTGCGTGGGATCTCCCCTCCGCAGTGCACTATGGCATGGCAGCACTCGTACCGTTGAGGTCAACGTGTCTGTTGAGGGGTTTTTCTGAGTTCTAACCTGTTTGTATCCCAAAAGGTGCAGATGAACATGGGGCTTGCAGAGGGTCTGCAGGACACCTCTGGCTATGACATGGGCAGCCAGAGCAACCTCATCAAGGACACGCACATGGTGGCTGCCAAACCACCGAGGGAGCTGGGTAGAGACCCTGTGTGCTCCCCTGCCCCGTGCCAGGCACTGCTGGCAGCGCTGCGGAGCAGGTGCTCCCCTCGAGCTCTTCACCCCCTCCAGCACTGCAGGGTCTGTGTTGGATGAGGCATGCACAGCTGCGATGGCCATTGAGGTCCTGGGAGCACCTCAGCTGTGGCCGTGTTTCAGAGCACACCTCGGCAGCACGGCCCCAGTCAGGGACAGGACAGAGCCATTTGTGGCTCTCGAGGTGGCGTTTGGGCAGCCAGGGGCTCTGTGTGTGTGTGTGTGTGCGTGTGTGAGGAAGGCATGCGGTGTAGCGTGTGAAAACACACCTAGAGAGAAAGTCTGAACAGAGATTAGATTAAAGGAAAATGTAATTAAGCACAGAGAGCATCCTGTCTGTTACTCAACTCTCCTTACGTAACTCTGGGACCGGCTGCCTTCACAGATGGCTGCTCTGCTGTCAAAGTCATTTGCTGGGCACCTGTTGGAAAAACTGCCAGGTCAGCACAGAACTAATTGCACAGGCATCTCTCCTTGTAGTAAGATCTAAAAGTCCAGAAGAAAAGTTGCTGACAGGTCTTGCAGCTCCCTAGATGAGCCTGCGATGCCTCCTGCTACTTAATCCTCCTCGTGTACTCCTGCGAGTGACCCAGAGGGTCTCCAGGGCTCAGGTGGCCCCTGGGGGATGAGGATGTGTGTGTCCCCTGGCACTATGGCAATGGCTGCTGCTGGGCCAGAGGGAGCAGGATGGGAGCTGCTGCTGTCCCCAGCCCCTCTCAAAGGCTGCGGCACTTCTCCCGTTTCCCAGCTGTTTGCACCCAGGTCCGAGGCTCTTGGGGGTGGCTGGACCACAGAGAGCTCCGCAGCTGTGCAGCGATACCCAGACACGTGGGGTGCCTTTGTTTGCCTGGGTGAGCAGCCAAGTTGCAGCCCATCTCCAGCTTCGTACCAGCTGCAGATCCAAGGCAGCTGACTGGCCTGCCAAAAAAACAAAACACGTCGAGGACCAGGGAGTGGCTTGTGCTGGCGCTGAATAATGATAATCCCAGCACGCTTATAAAACGACGAGGCGAAGAGCTTGCCACAGAGCTGTTCCTTGCAGCCCTGGTCCTCCACAGAGCATCACTCCGCCTCATCAGCCAAGGTACGTTTCTGAATTAAGAGCTTCAAAATGGGAGCTGCGTTTGTGTTCGCAGCGGGGCCAGTGCTCTGCGGCTGGAGATGGGCTGGGCTTTTCTTTTAAACTTGGGGAAAATGCTACCGCTGCTCTTGCAGAGGAGTTTCCGGCCAGGGAAGCAGAGCAGCCCCATGCTTCAGGGTCTGTAGGTGCCAGCCTGCCCCAAGCGAGCCCAAAGCACCTGGGCAGCATCCTGGCTCCAGGGGCTGCTGGGGGGTGAGCAGCACAGCTCCTGCCTCTGCTCCGCCACTGGTGAGCATGTAGCAGAGGGGATGCCGCACCGTGCCCGTGAGGCGCAGGGCTGTAAGGACCTGCTGCAGGAAAACGTGTCCTCTCCCTCCTCACAGAATGCTTTTGGAGGGTCAATTCATGTTTTATTTGATGCTGATTTGAGTCTCTCAACCAACTTCCTCATCCTACAGTGCTGTGTACATCCTGGCACATGAAGACGCCCCTCTAAAGGCAGCTGCGCTGTCCCTCCCGCCGCCTCGCAGGGCCAGGCAGCCCTGGCACATGTGGGGATGCCCCACTCACCACACAAGCTCCTGCTGTGGTGTACACCTCACTTCCATGTCCCAGGGCCCCGGCTCTGCCCTGGCTCCGGAGCATGTTCCTTCTCCTCAGCATTTTATGGCAAACGCCTCCGCATTTCTCCTTGCTTCAGCTTTGCACAAATGACGATGCTCCTGAATGTCCTCGGGCATTTGTTACCCCTGCATCTTGCCAGGTGCAGGTGATGGGTCACTGCCTTGCTTCCCGCAGAGCTGCCAGGCACAGCCTGAGTGCAGGCAGGGCTTCAGGCCATTTTGGGCTGGGAACTTACCTGACACAGTGCCTTCATGCTCTTCTCATCATCTTTTTCTTCTCCGTGTGCCCCTAAGGAGCCCTGCTGCAGACGTCCTGTCTTTCTTGCCTTATTTCACACCAATTTCTACCCCAGGGAGGCCTCAGCTCAGCTATTTTCCTCCTCCCCAGGTCCATATCCCGCCTGCATCCCGGCGCAGCCATGCTGGGCACGGCAGCGCGGCTCTCGGTCCTGCTCAGCCTCCTCGGCTTTGGGAAAGGCCAGATGTTTCACATGGGACCGTGCCCAGATCCGCCAGTCCAAGAAAACTTCGATATCAACAAGGTGTGAAGAGCTTTCTAAAAACCTCACGGCAGGTAGCGAGTTAGGCTAAGCGGGCATGGGAGCAATGGCAAATTGCCTGAGTGTAGGGGGGGTTGGAGGGTCCGGTCTCAACACCTTGTGCCAGAGCTGCCAGCATGGTCTGTGGCCCCGTGGATCCCCATAGCCTCCTGCACCACGGAGGTGGATGCGAGAACAAACCGTGCTGGCAAACAAGCCAGTCTGCTCTGCCTCAGCCCTCCTATGCTAAAAGCATCTCTCTGGACTTTCTTTTATCAGTATTTGGGGAAATGGTACGAGATAGAGAAACTGCCCTCAACTTTTGAGAAAGGAAGCTGCATCCAGGCAAATTACTCGCTGAAGGAGAACGGGAAGTTCAAGGTGATCAACAAGGAGATGCTGTAAGTGTTTGCATTCAGGCTGTGTCCTCGCCACAGCTGTGGCACTCCTGTCACCTCTCTTGCTGTCCTGGGTGGCTATTTTTCTCCAAATTGCCTGTTTCTGGGTCTGGGGGTGCTGGGGGAGGCACTCTGTGATGGCAGTAACTCTGCTGGGATAATGGGCTTTGCTGCGGTTACGGCAGAGGTGTGGGTCTCTGGTTTCTGCCTGTGCTTCCCTGGGGCTCAAGCAGGTCTCTGTCTTGTTGTCCAAGGTGAGCAGTGAGAAAATAGAACAAATGCACATGGTGACTCCAGCATGAAATAGACAGGTCTGCCCCTGGCTGGTTTGTGATCCCCAGTGATGGCTGGGAAGCTGGATGCCCCAGGTCCTGTCCCGGTGGTTTACAAGGCTGGTTACAGGACAGTAGCCACCACCTTGTGCCCCTGCGTGCGGAGAGGTGCCCGTGCCCTGCGCTCCTCTCTGCTCTGGAGTAAAGGGACCCGATGAAAAGGGGCAGGGAAGGTGAAGCATATGGGTCATTTTTACCTAAGCAAATATTTGTCAGCCTTTTTCTGGAGCATTTACCTTGCACTGGCAGCAACTGCTGTGTAAGGGGATCGGCAATTGCTGCCCATTTAAATCAGTGAGCAAAGTGAATGCACCGATTGTCCTCTTTATTATACTTGCTGGTTTGCAATTATCCCAAGCTTTCCTTGCTTTTTGCACGGATAGATGCAGATACTAATTTATCTGCTTCCATCACCAGCCCCAGCTGCCGTGGGGAGCTGCTGAATGAATGAGAGGGAGCGAGCAGTGAATGCAGCACTGTCCCCTGCGCTCCTGGCATGGCATGGGGACTTTGTTCTGGCTCACAATAACAACAACGCAGCAACACATCCCCCGTGTCCGGCAGAGAGCAGCGTCCATGCTGCTCGCTGACCGCGCTGCACTGTCTCTGCAGCCCCGCTGCCAGGGCAGTGCCTGGCGAACAGCTGACCATTTATTTGTGCCTGCATTAATCCGTGGGCGACTGATCTTACTGTTGGTGTCACCGCTGCAGCGGCTCAGTTGGGAAATATTTTGGGTCAGGGGTGCACTGAGCATGGCTCCAGCCTCAGCCCCTTGACCTCTGCTGCTGCCAGCACTGGCTTCTGCCTCCTTGAGTCTTCCTGTTTCACAGGGAAGCATGAAAGTTTCCTGCCCCACAGGCAGCATGCAGGTCTTGAGACATCCAGGGAAAAATGCGATTATAGGACAGGCAGCCCGAGTCATAGGGTTTGCTGCCAGCAGGGCAGTGCTCTGAACCAGCAGCGAAACAAAGCCCAGCTCACCAAGCAGAGTCAGGTAATTTGTGTGCAGAGGAATGTGCCGTGACCTGGAAAAAACACAGGTGATTAAACCAACACGAACATGTGCCTTCCGCAACTGCCAGGAGTTGAGCTGCTCCCCAGAACATCTGAGATCAGTGCTGGGATCATCCTGTCCCACTTGGAGGGGTCTTCCTCTTCTCAGTCACCGTCCCTGTGGCGCTGAAGAGCACCCTGCTGGCAGGGGCACACGGAGCGAGGCACGCTGGGGTGCTGGGGTGGTTCAACCGGGTACGGCATTTGCACCTGTCCCAGGACCTGGTGTGCCTTGTGTGCTGCTGAAGCCATCCCCAGAGCTGCGCTGTTCCTCCAGGGATGCTGTGGTTAGGTGGTACATGCTTCAGCCACCTCTTGGCAGGTGGATGCGTCAGGAGGGATGATTTAGTGGAAGACCAAAAAAAAAAGTGATTTCAAACTCACCCAATTTTACTTCTTGTCTTGTCATTCTCCGTTTAGTTCCAATGGCAAAGTCAACGAGGTCGAAGGAGAAGCCATGCACATGGATGTGAAGGAGCCAGCCAAGCTGGGCGTCCGCTTTAACTGGTGTAAGTGTGTGGCTGGGAGGCTCACAGCCCACCCTGGCCTCAGCAGGGCTGCGGTCCAGGCACCGCAGGAGGGTGCCACCCTGCCATGTGCATCAGGGGTGCAAAACTAGCAAAGCGAGAGGCGAGCCTGCCCTGGTGACTTCATCGCAGCAGGATGGGGCAATGGCGAAGGATTAGCACAGACGCTGTGACCAGCAGGCAGTGCTTTGGTGATACTTACACATCAGTTACAGCAACAGCCCCCCGCAGCGGTAGAGCACTCCTCACCAGCCAATCTCAAAGCAAGACAGATCAGCAGCGTGACTGTCCCTCCAGGTTGTTTCACAGATGGGGGAGAGGCGAGAGAGGCAGCCCTGCAGCTACTGCAAGGGCCAGGAATAGGCTTGTTTTTCTGAACGCAGCAGCATAGCTACTAGCCCACCCTGCCTCTGCTTACAACTGCCTTTAACAACCATCAATAACACGCTTTTTTTGCTTTTTCTTCCCTTGCCAATGGTGTAAGACCCAACAGGGCCTGCCGAGGTGCAGTGCATTTTATTCAGGTTGCACCGCGCTTCCCTCTGTCCCAGCAACACTTGGAAAGTCAGCAGAAGCCTCCCCTTGGCTCCTTTCTATTCTGCTCCCTCACAGCTTTTCCTTGGCTGTTCCACAGCTCTGACACAGACGGGTTATTAGGAGAAATGGGTGGAGCTGGGGTACTTGCAAAGGAGATACAATTATTGTTCATGAGCAGAGCTAGACGCCTTTAAGCACTGCTAAGGCATCACCTGAAGCAGAGTGTGCAACCCCAGCTGTCCTCACGGACACAAGCTCCAGAGAACAGTGCCCGGCACATCTAAGCACATTGGAAATAAATCCCAGGGTGCCTACGCCTGCCCGCTGGAACCCCTCTGCTTTCTGCCTGACGGTTTGAAGCTGGAGGGGTTGTCCCTCATCAGAGCAGCCTGATGCAGAACAGAATTTGGCCCAGGTGGCTGGTGCTGGTGAGATGGGCTGAGCCATACAGATTCCCATGGCCCAGGCGCCAGCTGGCTCCATGAGGCAGGGCACTCCGGGGCAGCGGGTGGTGAAGAGGGAGGTGGTGGTTTGTGTTCCTCAAGCCACCAGTGTCAGCTCCCAGCCCTCTAGCTCCTTCCCGTCAGCAAGCACCCTCACATGGGTACGAGCTGGGCTGGCTTTTGGTGGCCCAGACGAGCTGTTCAGCTCTTAGAGTTAACTTTCCAGCAAGACTTTCCTAGTCAGGGCCTTCTGGCTTTCTCGAGTCCCTCTGGGCAGGAAAAGGAGTCCTGACAGGCTTTCATAAATTATTGCTCCCTGTACTGATCACAATTACACAGCTCAGGAGCAGCACAAGTGGGAACAGCACCAGGAGCTGTGGCTCAAGTGGTGCAGAACAGTGCAGAGTCGGTTACCCACAGCGTTCATGGTGCCCTTCTTTCTCCTAGTCATGCCTTCTGCCCCTTACTGGGTCATCTCCACCGACTATGAAAACTACTCACTGGTTTACTCCTGCACTAACATCCTCTGGCTCTTCCACATTGACTACGCCTGGATTCTCTCAAGAGCTCCCGAGATGCACCCAGAAACCGTGGAGCACCTGAAGAGCGTTCTTCAGTCCTACAAGATTGACACTGAGAAAATGATGCCCACGGATCAAGTTAACTGCCCTCCCGAGATGTAACGCCCGGCATGCAGTGACGTAGCGCCAGATCAGCAATAAAATTTGTTGCTTTCTTTATTATCCATTAGAATTTCTCTATGCAACAGAGAAATGTAATAATCCTTTTGCTAACGGTAGTTTGCCAGCCCTGAGTTACTCCTTGCCATCATTCCCTCTATCGCTCTCCCTCCTTTTTTGTCTCGCTCTGACTTTTGCAGGGTAACTGACTGGTTCAGAGCTAATGGGTGAAGAAAAGAAACCCTGAAGTGCAGATGTGAAGCTCTGCTGTTGCTGTGAGTCCTCCAGAATGTGGATGCAAAAGGGTATGAGATGTGATGTGAAAGTATTAGTCCCAGGGGACAACCTGTTGTTGTGTTCCCCCAGGTTTGTTTCCTATTTTTGTCTTGATGCTTCTGGGCCTGCTACGAGTCTGCGGTGTATGAGCCACATCACAGGCACTGCCTTCCCACCGGCAATGCCCAGACACAGGGGGGTTGGGCCTGCAGCCTGGGAACTGAGCCTGGGGGTCTTTCATGGTTTGTGTTGCAGGCCTGTAGGTGTATGTTACTGCCGAGTCAGCAGACCTCCTCGCTAGAAATCAGATCTGGCCCTTGTATTTGAAGTCCGAGAAGCCTAAAACTGTCCAGAAATTCAGCATCGCCCCATCCACAGTGTCTGTGTGTGACCTGTCGCACGTGGGGCTGGTCCTGCATTCCCAAGGGGTCAGCTCTGAGAGTACCCGTAAGCAGGCAGAGATGGGCTGCTCCTTTGTCCTCTCCTCCTGAGGCTTCTTCCCGAACACAGAGAGACGTCAGGCTCTGCCTGACATCCTGCTCACCGCTCTTGTACCTGCCGAGTGCCCGCTGGCACTGCATCTGCCCTGGCAGGTGTTCACTGGGCACCACGACAACTCCGCTTGAATAGCATTGATGCAACTCATTAAAAATTAAATCAAAATATCCGCTTTGGGGCTTTTGTACCTTCCCAGCTGCACAACCTTTTTGAGCAAGCCGGGGGGCTCGGCATGCGGGGTCTGCCCCTCCTCTGAGGCCACGGCATGGGCACCACCGGAGCAGGAATAAAAAACCATGTCTGAAGGGAAATGGTTTGCTCCAGGAGCCTGGAGGTCTTTCCAGCTCTTTGGGTTTGGATGGGTGGGCTTCCCCCATCATCTGAGCCATGCCAGTGACCCCGTGTCGTGGCTTCGGCAGGCAGTGACCCCATATCCTGCTGCTTGCAGTGACATGAAGAAACAGCGATGTGGATGCAGGACACTAAATCTGTAGGAAATTTACATCTGTAGGAAATGTACATTGCTGTGGTGGGACCCCGATGGGTGTGGGTGGGCAGCAGAGCCCTTTCTTGCCTTGGGAGGGCTACAGGGACTTGGCAGGCAGCCACCATTTCTTTAATCTTTGCCAGTCGAGGAGGCTGGGATGGGAGGGAGGCCAGCAGGGATCAGAAACAACTGCCATGTTTAAGCCATTATCCCCTTAAACTTTTAAATCCCAATGCCACAGTTCCTGTCACACAAAATCAAACACTCCACCTGCATCCTCCACCTGGAAGGGTGGTGGAGGGACATGCCAGGATGCTGACAGCTGCGTGGTGGCTCCCAGGTGCATTAGATTTTTGGGGTAGATCATTTCATCACTGCTTCCTATTCCTATT